TGAAGCCATTTTTGTGGGTACCCACGCTGCTGTAGGTCATGAAGCCATTTTTGTGGGTACCCACGCTGCTGTAGGTCATGAAGCCATTTTTGTGGCTCCTCACCAGCACTCTCCCCTTCAGCTCCCTTCTCCTGCTGCTCTTTTTCTTCTGGACCACAGTCAACCTTTATTCGATGAAGTAATTCAGATAATTGAGACAATGACTTTGACAGCCTGTGCTGTATCGCCATCTGGGGTGGATGGCTTGTACTTGCGGGCTTCTCAGTTGGGCAATCAGAGTCAGGGGCATTTAGGGAAGAGGAGCTTCGAACTTGTGCTGGCCCCTGAGCAGAATCTTCCATTGGTGGGTTGCGAGAGGAACTGGTTGGACATGGGGGTTCCGACTCAGATGTGTTTTGCTTCGGTGTTTCAGCCTCCAAGTCATCAGCAGTTGTATTGTAGCAACTGGTGTCATTTTCAATCAAGAAGTCTTCATTAGGTGGCAATGTGCTTTGAAGCAATTCATCCCCAGTATTATTGCTGCTTGCACCCTTTTCAGAGACAGCAGCCAGTGAATCTTCCCTCTTGTCCTCTGGAGATTCATCACCATCAGCTGTTTGAAGAAAGTATTAGTTTGTGAATATAACTAGCCAGACAATTAGTTATAGCAGTACTTACCGAATGTGTGGTGTACTCCAACAGCCAACAAACAAAGCAGTAGCAACCTAAAGAGCCAAAAAAAAAACTAAATTTTAATTTAAGCCAAACTGGTTATGCAAAAAGAACAGCAAACATGATTTTGAATAACAAAATTAAGGCTTATTCTTAGTTAAGATGGAAATTGACAAAGAATGCAACATGAAATTTGGAGGCTCCATTTTTGTGACTATTGTCATAGTAATCATTTCCTCCAGTAAAACATAACATTTCAACTTGCCTTAAGAAATTCCCCATGGCCTCAGCCACACCAAACAGCAAACTGAATTGGAAAGAGAGGCTGGAGTATATATATTAATGTTCCCTGTTGTCTAATTAGAAACAGCTGCAAGCTGCAGCTGCAGCTGGCAGCCAAACAATTAACCTACAATTGTACTCAACTAAGAGTAGCGCCACCTCAACATTATTTTACTCAAGTGAAACTAAAAAGTGACCATTCCAAGAAATTACTTGGTAAAGTATTTGGTAAAAAATACATTTTTAATTTAAATAAGGGTAGTGAAACCTTTATAGGTAAAAGTATGGACTATGGAGAACTTATTTTTAAAAGATTTAATCGAGTAAATATATCTAGTCACTAGTCAAGTTTCTTTTTCTACTGAATGGATTTCAAAATTACGCTCTTTCCATTTCACATATTATTAGGACACTTATTAAAGACTGGAATGTATTTTGTCCTATTTATACTCTTGCATGATTTTTCATATTGTTGCCTCATATATACTGAAATAAATTATTTATCTTAGTGGTTTGGTGTCTATACAAAGTAAAGAAAAGTTAGAGTGTATTTTAAGCATACTTTTATATTTTTAAATGTGGTTTCAATGTCACTTTTTATTGCAGATATTGTTTGTTGTAAAAATTACTCGTTCAGTGTTTCTGTTGACAAAATAATATTTTACTGTAGCTTCTTTAGTTTAGAAGGTGAACTCTGCAATAATAATAAGCAATGTGTGCATCCCCTCAATAAAATCTGACACAGCCAATGTAACCCCAAAATCATAAATTAGCTTATTTCCTTTATTTTAATTTGCCAGACAAATACTAATATGTTTTAACTGTCCGACAATTGTATTTGAAATTTCTAAAACTTTGTATTCCTCCCCTAAGCCGTTCTCTCTAGTGTGAGAGCAGTAGTACTTGTACAATATGAAAAACGCCCCAAAATAGACAAATATACCATTGGTAAACACCAGCCCATTGTAAAAACGGAAACATCAAAATGAGATGAATATGTTTTGGGAGGTTAGATTATTTAACTGTACAGGCTTTGCTGTGTAATACCATTACATTTTACTTACTTATCTACTTGATTTTACTACACATACATGCCTGTACATACAAGTACACTGTAAATGGTGATCCAGATGTTTAGGTTTGCTCCAGGTATAGTGATGCTCTGATGAACCTGTTACCTGGGCCAATAAGCCCCTGTCAAATTTAACTATAGCCTTTTATCTAATTAATTTGATTTTTATCTAATATTTTCCCTATTATCACTGCCTGCTACATCTGACCTTACATAAAAAAACAAAACAAAAAAACAATGGTAATTTGCAGAAATGTGGCCCCTTAATTTTACAACTATGTTCAAAAACTTAGATCAATTTCCCTCATTCATGGGGGAGTGTTAAAGGGTTGTTAAGTCCAAGGCTGTAGACAATTAAACTGACAACTTTTACAAAAAAGAAATTATTAAAGTTAAGCCCTTGTGTGCTTAAGTATGTGTAAAGGGCATCTTCATCTAGGAGAATCTAGTGTGTACTTGTTTATTCCTTTTAAATTGAAAATAGCTTATGTTTAAATAAAAACAGTTGTGAAAGTTGGCGGAAAAAAATTGGTCGTTTTAATTTTTTAAAGGTTTGCATCTTATTAAATCTATCAAAAACACAGCGTTTCACAACGTTAGTGTCTGCATGAGATGTTGAAAAAATAACTTGCCGTAATTTTGTGTGGTAGTTAGTTCTGTAGTGAAATAAGCCTACAAATCTTATTTGTTTTTTAAATCAAGTCGGTATGATGTCCTTCTAAAACTTCATGTCTGAGTTTAGCCATGAATAGGGTTGCCAGATTCATGAATATTAAATGAGGGACACTTCTTGGCCAGTGATTTCCACCCTACCTACACTATTAATATATTTATTAAACAAACCTGAATTATATATTCAGGTTAATAACTGAGTATTACTTAAAACGGGTCATTTTATTTTTAAAGAAATGTTGGCAACATAATGTGTTAAACGTCATTTTTTTGGGGGGTAAGTTTTTTTAAATTTTTTTTCTTATTATGGACTACAAATCCCATAAGCAAACTCCTTACGCAAGATCTAACTGACTTCCGGTAGAGGCATTTCAAAATAAAAGTTTCATCAGGTTTCTCCATAGTAAAAACTGCCGACCAAGGTGTCATTTTATGCTTTTATTTTCAAACTAGGGTCATTCCTCGGCGTTTCGTCGATCCCTAAAGCAGCCTTCCTTCACCCCGCTCCCTCCTCCCTGACCGTTGGCTACCTGACAGCAGGCAGTGCCGTATGATACCGGGCAGGTTCTCTCCTCCTCCCGCTGCGTGATGAGGCTCCGTTTGGCCGGAGCCGTGCTGCTGGCGGCGGCCGCCTATTACGTGTACCTGCCGCTACCTAGCGGCGTGAGCGAGCCGTGGAAGCTGATGCTGCTGGACGCCCTGTTCCGGAGCTTCATGCAGGCGGTGAGTGGCTGAGGGATGCGCTGAGCTGCTGGAGGTGGAACACCGGGGGACAGGTTGGAGGCTCTGGAGCCCCGCAGGGACAGATAAGGCAGATTAGAGGCACGCGGGTGACATAAACACCTGTCTGGGATCTGAAACATATTCATAGTATGCTCCTTAAAATGTGTTAAATTTATAAATAAAAACTGTATTAAGGTGATTTAATCTTAAAATGTATTTCTGAAAGCTTATTATTATTATTTAATATATATATATATATATATATATATATATATATATTTAGTTTATTATTAGAAATGTGCGTTGTTTTGAATCGGATGGATGGAGTTAAAAGGCTTAATATAAACTGATATAGATACACTAAATACATGGAAAAGATGTGGCAATATTATAGAGCTAAAAAAAAAAATTCAAAAACTCTAAATTATGTCTTTTAAAAATATTTCTGCATAGATATGCTGTGCAAAAGGTTCTCTGTAATCTGAATTGCAGCCATTAGATTTTCAGCTAATCTAATTTCCAATGTTTTTACTGTAAATTTTCTGCGAGGTAAATTTAAGAACATATAAAGGCTGTAATGGTTAAAGCATTAAAGGTGCATTTTGAGAAATAACTTCAACTATTTAATTGGATATGTTTTATTTATTGCCTCTGTTCATTCATGCAGGTCAGTATAACTGTGAAATTCTGTAAATGCTGTAAAAGTAACAATTCCTAGGTTTCTGTAGGAAGAAAATACTTCTCCATGCACTTACAGCAGGGTTTAATGAATACAGGTGTTTAGATTAGTAACTGTGCAAAAACAGCTGGATTTCTCTGTCAGAATAACTAAATAAACAACTTCAAAGTCAGCAGTAGAAGCAGTGATTTACAAATTAAATGTGTTAATCAAGATTATTAAATTACATATTTCTTTTAGGCGTTAGGAATTTATTTATTTAGTTTGGTTTTTGATCTGATTATTGGTCTTTTTTAAAAGTTTGTAAAACATGACCAACAATCTCCAGTCAAATAAATCTAAGGAATTATGTCATCATTTCAGTTCCAGCTTTAAACTATTCGTCCCTTTGTCTTTATCTGCCTTTTGATGAGCCAAAAAGCAGGTGGATGGAGAAATAGCGAGTTATGCATTAAGCAAACTGAAGAATTGCTAATCCTTAGTTTTGATGTATTTTCTTTATTACATAAAATCAGATATTATCAGTGTTTTACCAGCTACTTAAGGTGAAACTGTCTGATCCTCAGTCTTTTGTGGTCTAAGTGGAACTTCTTGTTCTTTAAAGCTGCTCTGCAGGTGACATGAGATGATAAAATAATCCTCTGTCTGTGCAGCCAAAAGGCCTTTATGTTGCTCAGCTTTTACAGAGACACACATGTCAGGGCAGAAACTGTTGTTTTACATGTTAATTACTGGCTCCCAGCAGCAGATGCCGCGCCCAGATATTTATTTAAAAAGGAACAAGTTTTACAAGTGCTGTAAGTCCTGTCAGAGGACAGGTTTTACTCCCTGCTCAGTGATTTCACCTTCATTCATCAGTGGGATGGAAACTTTCCACTTAAAGTCGTAGGAAAGTCATATTTAAATGTCAGATCATTCTGGATTAAAAAAGAATATAAATGTACTCTTTATCAGACAAAATTTAATCTGTGTTATTTTATGCAGGCCAGCTAGTTATATGTTAGCTTGTTCACCTAAGTTTGTCCAATCATATATCAACGGTCATCTATAAATCAAATTTTTTTGGTCATAGCATCTTGATTCATATGTCACAGCAAATATACGCAACGGTTGAAAT